CTCCAACTCTCGGTGTGAATCAGAAAGTCAAACGAACTGGAATTGAAACACGGTGATCGTAAACGCAATTTTACAGTTATTTGTTGCAAGCATCGACGTGTTAAAACTGCCCAAACGAATTTTCTCGATTGCGAATTATTGATATTACCGTTTATAAAAAAAGAGGATCAAAATAGAAAACAGTAGATTATTTTATCGTCAATGAATTACTCATAAATAAGCTAATTTTATTTAAAGTAGGTAATATATATTATTGGATCATTGTAGTATTTCTCTAATTATAAATCTGAAGACAACTACCAACAATATGCAAATTGTGTGACTCATCTGAAGTGGGTGATGAAAAACACTATGTTATGAACTGTTCAAACTCAGATATTAAATCAAATAGAGATAGTTTTTTTCACAATATTAGCTTTCCAGAATTTGAAATACTAAATCAAGATTGTAAATTTATTTATTTGTTAAGTGCTATCTTATGATACCTTTCGCCAAATATGTTAATTTTATTTTAAATGTAGTTAATAGTTGTATTTAGTGGCCATACTGCCGTATTGTACTATATCGGTGTTGTGTCAATAAATTATTACTATTAAATTATTAGTCCCCATTCCGATTCGGACGAAGTCCGAAAACGGGGACTTATAATTCGGTCTCAGTCTGTGCGTCCGTGCATCTGTGCGTCCGTCCAGAGTCGTATCTAAGAATCCCTTGGACCGATTCCGTTCATTCTTTGCATGTGCCTAGTACTTTATCTTGGACATATGCACATGCAGTGGTTTAGCGATTCGATTCAAAATGGCCGACTGGCAGTCATCTTGGAAGTGCTCTGTCAGTTTTCATTCAAATTTGGCACATACATGTACTTTATACATGTTAGGATGCATGTCCATGACAATTTGTTTCAAAATCTGGTCAAGAATGGCCGATTGACAGCAATCTGACTTTTTGGCCTTACTACTATATTTCCACAATTTATGTACCATTTTCATTCGTATTTGGCACATACATCATACATATCAGTGTGTTTCATAATCAGATTAAAGATGGCCGAATAACGGCTGTTTTTATTTTTGGCCATATTACACGGAACACGTGTTTTGATGTAAATAAACAATCTGTTGTATACGCCACTTGGAACTCAAGTTTCAAGGACACGCTCACGAACCCCATCACCCCCCCCCCCCCCCCCACGCTTTAATATGACAAGCACAAAGAGAACTTTCAAAAATTTAACCGGGACTGTGTCATTTTCAATGACTTGTTATTATTATCATGTACATGAATGCATATTATCCCCCCCCCCCCCCCCCCATCTTCAGGGGTGTCTGCCAAACTGGGCCAGATTTGAACTTGGTTGGTGGTAGGACTCGGCCAACAGTTGAAGTCGGCCAGTTTATGTGAGTGTTAATGGTCTGAGAGTCTTGTTGATTTCAGTCACGTCACGGTAAAAAATGATATACTAAAAGATGTTGTTGATTTCAGTGACGCAGCGGTGGTGTGTCATATCACAGTAAAAAATAAAATACTATATAATACAATACACTGGTGACATGCATTATTTGTATTTTTTTCACATAGCAGAGCCAGACCGTCGCCGATGCAGTGTCTGTGTTTCTTATGTAATGTTGATCTTTTTGAACACTTGTGTTATTGAAATCATCAACAATCACAAGAATTATTGAAATCAACAACATGTCAAAAGAACAGTAGCGTTGCTGGGCATGTTGTGTGGCATATAGTTTCTTTTTTGGGTAAATTTGTGTCACTAACCACTTCACACTTGGACAATTACAAACGTACAACTGGCCGAGTTTGACTATTTTTATCTGGCTGAGTTAGAATTTGGCCGAGATCGACTGTATTCATCTCAGGGTATGTGCGGCAACAATCGGGCTAATCTTGGGATAGTGATGTTCAGGCATTTTCTCTTGTAATTTCCCACCTGAGGGTAAAATCCTGGGCACAATAGTGTAGAGATAAGGTACGGTGGGAATAACAATGTGTTTGTGTTATCCCAGGTGGTGGGGTACAATATATTTAGCAACTCTTACGATTTTACTTTCCCCTACATATGCTGAGGTGGGAGAGTTAAGATTTAATACATGTTTTGACTCTGAATGGGTGAAAGAGGTTACAAAAGGAAAAAATATAAAAGTTAACAATGATTTATAAGATGAAGGTATGTAAGTTGTGTTATATGCAGTGAATATTCTGCACAAATTGAATAATTTATATTATTATTATATTATTATTATTATAGTTCTTATTATTGTTCCGAATTATTGAAATAATGCAAATTGTGAGATGATCACAAAATGGCACTCCCAATGTACATACAATTATGCAAATGAGTTACTGTAAACAAATTCTCAAGAGACAGATTTTCACTAATTTTGTCTTCATGAATTAAAATATTCAAATCATGAAAATTGCTAGCAATGAAAATTTAATGATTTATAGTACTGGTAATCTGTGAAAGAACATGTTACAATGTTTGTCTCAGATTATGTTGCTAATGTTCGTATTCGTATACATTATATGATAAACTTGCTCACTCAAGTTCTGTTTATGCATTAAAACCTTTCCATGTACAGTGTATCTATTACATTGTGTTCTATGATGCTATTGGTTGAGATGCGTTTAATGATACTTGCATTAAAAATTGTAAGATTATGGTATCTTCATTTCATATCACTGTACATGGATATATCTGTTACATACATGTATCATCTTATAAGTCCTTGATAATAACAAATTAGCAATTTAAATTGTGCATGTTTTTTTGTTTGTTTGCTTCATTTTATTTTGTACCCATTTCTATATACTGTGAATTATGTTTTTACTATCTACATGTAGTGTCAGTCATAGGTCAATAGTCAGTCTATTCTTGGAATGCTCAAGTAAATGTAGTAAATTAATGAATTAGTAAATATTATGTTATGATGTATATGAAAAATGTTTTGTATTTATTGTTTTACTTTTATTAACACTCGAACAAATTTCACAGAGCACCCAGATATACATGTAGTAACAAAAATAATATTTTTGGATGAGTCCTTATTATTGTTCAAATATATTTATTTTCATGAAATAATATTTCAACCCATTTTTGCATGTTTTCAAACTAATTTTGTACTCCTGTAAAAATTATTAAAAATTATTGACTTTATCTTGTTTACCTTATTTAATGCATGTATGATGAATACTAGTGATCACCCTGAAGGGTTAGTTAGATTTGCTTGAAAGTAACAAAAATAATAATAATTTCCTTGCTTTGAAAGACTGATTAGCAGTGGTATTCAGTGTCAAAACTTAGGTCAACCACTGGTATTTGCATAAACATTATCTAGCTATCTTCTCTGTTGAATCTTACTTACAGATAATCGTACTGAACCTAACCTTGATGATCTGAGTTATGCATTTCGACAACTTGGAATCAGTATAGCTGAATTAGAGGATTATACCAATGTTGTGGAACAGATACCATTTGCTCATGAGTTACCACAATTTCCGTTTGTTAAGAATAATGCTTTACATCATCCAAAGCCAGGTAGCAGTGAACACCGTGAACGACTCATTTATATCCCTGATTACTTACCACCACTTGTACAATATCCTGAAGGTAAGTGTCCCTCTCAGTTGCAGGACAAATATAGGTACACTCATGGTAAATTTGCTTGTTTCATAAAAAAACAGTGATTCTAGAAATCAGCTGGTAGCAGGTAAAACAATGACCTATTTCGAATAAAATACCAGATTGTTTTATTGCTTTTTATTAGTATGAAATAATAAAATATTGCATATTTACTCTAGACTACTATTAGAATCACACATCTTAATATAGTGTATATAAACCAAAATTACATTTATTGTATACTGAATTATTCTGTAATTTATATTAGCGCATATACGGTATACATGTGTACAGACAGACAGACAGTAGCTTTCTACATTTTACCTCTTGAAATCTCTGAACAACTACTGAAGTCATGATTCCTTGCATAACAGACAGGTATGGATAGAAATATTATACATTCCCGGAATAACTGAAAATGCTCATATGAACAAGTGATGCATCACAATACCTTATTATACAATACAGCTCAAAACTTTTGTATAGAATGACAGTAGGCCAATGATCATTAAAAATAGCACCTTATTCATGTATGTATCATAGTGAACAGGTACATGTGGAGAACATAAACACTAGTAAATAGGAACTGTTGAACAAAAAACTACTTTTCTAGTACTGGTAAATACTGAAAATAGCGACAAGCCAAAAAGTGTAACTTGTACATGTAGACTGCTGATGGAATGGAACCCATAATTTAGTAGAAATATTGCCTGTATAACTATAAATGTCAGTATAACTATAAGTGTCTGTATACAATATAACAATGAATACATTGGTTATTTCAAAAATAAATTATTTGTTAAATTGCAGTTAATATACTGGCATTCCTGTGTTGAATAGAACACATATACAATTAACAATTCTGATGTTAGTTTCTACTGGCAAAACAACTGGAAATGCATACATGTTATAAATAGAGTATCTCAATCTGTGACCGATGATATCAGATTTATTAAACTTGTTTTGAAATTTACATTATTACTACACTAGTTCAGTACATGTAAATGTGTTTATGTTGTCAGTAGAATACTTCTAGTGATAAAGGACAGTGAATGTTCAATGGCCTTTTTCACAGGCTACGGTTTATTTAAAAAAATTATCTTAGCAGAATTTAATAATAAAGACCTCTCACAATTGAGATTTCAATCATATTAACTTATAATTGTATATTTACTATGGTACGCCTGTTTTGATCTATAGTTAATTGCTAATGTTTAAAGTAGAATCGAGAATGTTGTGTTCCAGCACAGAGGAGATGTTTTGAAAACAGAGTATTCTGGCTGCAATGTTTACCATAGCTTGTGGTTCAGTCAATGTACATACTGTATATTTTGCTAACTTTGCAATATGGACAATATATATCTTGTTGTATGTAGACTGAACAAAACAACTTAGTGGTAAGAACAATTATATTCATTCACAGCACATCCTGAACATATCTATTTCTATTGAATCTAAGCCTTTTTTTTTGTAAACAAAAAATTTCTCTAATCCAACATCAACACTATTTGCTGTTAATCTTTTTCACAAAAAATTCATTATTTTACATTATTATTCAACATTTTTAATATAATAACAATGCTCATTTATGTTCCCTACAGATGCTGATGGGCTTGGTTCACCAATTTCTGGACCTTCCGGCTCTGTCCATGAAATGGGAGGAGAGCCAGTTACAATGGATCAAACATCTCCAAGGACACCAGGAAGAGGTGAAAAACGGGAAAGAAACAGCATATTACATGATGAACCATCTAGTAAGAGACTACGGATCAGTGAGGATGGAACTCCACAAGAGTTGACAGCAATATCCATGACACCTCAGGGTGTATTAACACCTAAACGTGAAGGGAAACTGCCAGATGCTACAACACCACCGCAAAGTAAACTGCCATCAGCTCTGGTCACAGCCAAGTCAGCTACTAATGATGAGAAAGAACCTTCCAATGAAAAGGATAAAGACAAGAAGATGCCACCTCCAACAGTCCTGACACCATCAAAATCACGTGCCAAGTCACCAAAATCACCCAAAGGTGGAGGTGGTAGTGTTGATTCAAAAGCAACAAAACTTAAAGAATTTCTTCTGCATAATAAGCCTAATTCTCCAAAAGGAGGCAGCAAGATTGCTAAGTCACCTGAAAGGAGTAGAACTAGTAATAAAAAGTCACCTATTCGGACAAAGTCGCCAGCAAAACACGCACCACCAAGTTCTCCTCCTGCCATTACACCTATACTAACAGGACTTCTGTCAACAATACAAAAAAATGGTACTGATCAAGAGGATATTGAGGATGTCGTTTCTGAAAGTAAAGAATCAAAGTTAGTGCCTGCTTCTGATAAAAGCATGGACGCTTCTATTGAAGCTGTAATTGTGAGAGCACAGAAACATATTACTGAGAAAGCTGAGAAGCAGGAAATTAAGGAGGAAAATGTGGAGATTAAGAAAGAGAAAAAGGAGAGGGAGAGGGAAGAAGAGAAAGAGAAGGAGAAGGAAAAGTTTGATGTCAATACAAGTCGGCTGAGTTCTGTTGAGAGTACCATTGAGGCTGTCATTCAGAGGTCACAGCAACAGTTTGCTGAGGAGCAGGAGTTGAAAGCTAAGCAGAAAGAGCAAAAACCTGTTGAACCTCCCAAGTCACATGATCCTTATGATTTTATTGATGATGATTCACCTGCTCCTCCTACTCCGCTAAAGGAGCAGTCTCCTTCAAAACCTATTGTGAAGAAGATGAAAAGAAGCAAAGAGCAAGAAAAAGATAAAAAGATGAAAGTGAAAAAATTCAAAATAAAAGATGAGAAGCGAGAGAATGTAGAACTGAAAAAAATAGAAAAGGAGAAACCTGCAGAAAACATCCCCCCAAAAGTACATGATGCTGTAAAACTTGAGGGACCTGTGAAGCTCAAAGATAAAGCCAAAAAGAAAGACAAAAAGGAAAAGAAAGACAAGCATAAGGAGATTAAAAAAGTTAAAGAAAAGAAAATTGTTAAGGGAGATAAGAAGGACTCTTCTCAATCTCAGGAGAAGCCTGCACCACCACCACCTGAAAAATCTGTGCCTCTCATTCCAAAAATTAGTATAAAAACAAAAGACTTTCCTAAAACTACTCTGACCTTCAGTGGTCTTGATCTCTCACAGCCTAAGCCATCAACTGTTGGAAGCAGTGCAACTATTAAGGCTGATATGCCTAAAGAAATAAGTACAGAAAAGCATCATGAAAAGGCCAAGAAGAAGAAAAAAGATAAACACAAGGAGAGGCATAAAGAAAAACACCGAGACAAAGAGAAAGCAAAGCATAAAGACAAAGAAAAACATAAGAAAGAAAAGCATAAAGATAACAAAGAAACTACAATAAAGGTGGGTTTTTCTGTCATATTTTACTACCGGTAGTTTGTGTAGCAACATCAACATCATTTGTGTTTCTCAACTGACTTAGGTGGTTCAGGTGTAAATCAAAATTAGTCTGACAACATCATAACTGAACAAATCAATTAAATTAAAAAGAAACAAAAAGTTGAGGTTCCCTATGTCTGTGCAGCAAAAATGAATCTTCACCAATGAACCAGAGTTCATCAGAAAGGAAACACATGAAAACATTATCCAGTTACCAAAAATAAATCGGTCAACAATTTTTTTTTAAAAAGATTCAGTTCTGTTAATATATATATCCATTAAACACTTTTAATTTTAACAGTTGAAGTCGGAATCTTCAAGTACAGAAATCCCTAAGATTACTTTAAAAATTGGTACCAGGCCGTCTGGTGGAAGTGATGCCTCAGCACCTGCCAAAATGTAAGTACATATCGCTTGTTGATTTATTACATTATCAAATAACATTCAGATTTAATATTTGCTTATAATAGAAGCTCATCTCGAATAAAACTATCTTTATGACATCAGTTTGTCAACCAATCAGCTTGGATGAATTAGGCTTTTACAGACATATTTTATTTCTCTTTGTTCTTATTCTAATGTATCAAAAGTCAAAACTTTTGATCTTGAAAATCACGTCGGTAGGATTTCATTGTACACTTCAATGTATTTGGACATGTTAGTATGTGAGAATGTCAGCATTAAATGCCATCAGTGTTAAATTGTTACACTCGTCAGCAAAAACTGTGAGATTCATCAAAAGCAAATGGTTTAATCACAATTTTGTTATATTTGCAGAGTCATCAAGACACCAGTGGTTCCAGAAAAGCCGCCTACTCTGTCTCCCTCACCACCCCCTGTGCTCTCACCACGTCCTCAGACTTCCCTCCCAAAACCTCTTCCAGAGTCTCCCAGTCCTACACTCAATCCTTCACCCCCTTATCCTCATTTCCACATTCCACATTCTTCACCACCACCTTATCAGGCTCCTCGATTTCCATTCCAGTATCCCCAATTTAGCTCTCCCCCTCCTCATCACCAATATCCATTTTCTATAAGTTCTATGATGGCACATGCTCCAACACCTTATGCATCCTGGGCGGCTCCTCCACCATCAATGATGCACTCAGGACCAGGTCACCCAGCATTGTTGTCTCCTCCACCTCCCCAGAGAAAGCCCATGATTCCCACTGTTCAACCACCTCACCTACCTCCTCAGTCTATGGGTGCATTTGCATCAGCTCTACAAAATAGCCCTCCTGGCTCCATGCGACCAGGACCTCCACCCCCACCTCCTCCCCCTCCCCCACTCCTCCAACAACAGTTTCCATATCAGCTTCAGCAACCATCGCGACCACCTGTAATCATGTCCCCCCATCTAGCACCTACAAAACCTTCACCTAAACACACTCCACAATACATGCCAACAAAGCCAGTGCCACCACCTCCCAAACCAACACCACCATCTCCACCACCTTTTGTACAGTCACCTCCAACAACAGTTTCATCACCAGCACCAAAACCATCATCGCAGCCACCACCAGCATCAGTTGTGTCTACAACATTAGCAGCATCTACGTCTCAGCAGAGCGGTGTACAACGATCAGTGATCACTGAAACACTCGGCAGCACAATACTGGTAAATATGTTTACGATTTATACATTAAGTCACAGGGAAAATTTAAATCACTATCAATCTTGGACCAGAAGGACTTTTGGCATATACATGTATGAAATAGTGATTGTCTATTTCCAGCTATCAGAGTACTGCTTACACCCAATCATTGGCTCATTATTATTATTAAAGTACTGTAATTATTCACTGGTTTTTAATTACGCCATTTTTGCTATTAATTAAAATCTGATAAATTAAATCTACATGAACATGTAAAAGCACATTAGAACTAATCGTTTCCCTACCAAGTTTGTGAATTTAAAATCTTCATATTATCAAAATAGTTAAATTAAAATGAAAATAAACGGTTTTACAGTAAGCAACAAGATTTGCAAACAATCATATACTTCTTTAAACATTAAAACATTTAACATTTATACAGGATTCCAGTGGTCAAAAAATCTGGATTTGTCCACAGTGTAAGCTGCCTGATGATGGAAGTCCAATGATAGGATGTGACACATGTGATGACTGGTATCATTGGTGAGCATTGTACATGTGTAATTCTCTTTCCATAGCAGTGAAAAGTTATTTTTAGAAGAGACGCGTAGTCCAACATGTTGTGATTGACTTGCATTCTGATTTACATGTGGTTTGGCAGTTATGGCATTCATTCCAAAAATCAGATCACATCAGTGAATAATAATTCCACTCAATTTCTTTCAAGCACTGTCAACATAAATTATTTTGTTAGTCCCTGTTCGGACGCAGTCCGAAAACGGAGACTTATGTTTTGACCTCCGTGTGTGCGTGTGTACCTGTATCTTAAAAATGCCTGGACCAATCACAATCAAACTTCACACATACATGATATTATACATATGCACATCAATTTGTTTCACGATCTGATTCAAGATGGCCAAATGGCGACCATTTTTGTTCTAAAAATCATCAAAATCAAGCATTTCTCGGCTGTTTACAGATGGATTTTGTTCAAATTTGGTATATACGTTGGACATTATAGGACTTTGATGTACATCATTTTGTTTTTCATATAAGATTCAAAATGGTAGACTGGCGGCCATTTTGTTTTAATGAATGTGGTTCTAGTGCCATATCTCTGACTTGCTGTGACTGATTATGTTCAAATTTTCAAATTCATTATACATCATGTCATAGATGTACAGATATATTGGTTTGACGATCCTATTATTATCCTGAATGGTGGCCATTTTTGTTCTAAAAAATCATCAAATATCAAGCATTTCTGGATGGATTTTGTTACATACATGGTACATACATTAGACATTACGGGTTCCTGATGCACGTTATTTTATTTTTTAGATCATATTCAGAATGGCAGACTAGTGGCCATTTTGTTTTAATGAATGGGCTTCTAGAGCAATATCTCTGACATGCTTTGATTGACTATGTTCAAATTTTATATATTCATTATACATGTATTCAAAATGGCTGATTTTGTTTTAATTAATGCTGTTCCAGAGCAATATCTCTCAATACTCGTTTGACGATCAGATACAAATGTCAATCATTTAAATGTTAAACAATCATCATAATCATATTCCTGACATGTTTATATTCCAGCTATATTACTATAAAAAAAACTATATATCTTAAATTTGATAACTAACGGGACTGTGCCATGCATGGCTTGTTTATTTTGGAGTTTGTTTCTATGCTGTGTTTACATCTAAAATACTGAGGCTCACTGTATATCCACTATAACAATAATGAACAAACAATGGATAAAGAGTTAATTCTATCTCAAATAAAATCTATTCCAAATCCTATATTGCACTGTAGGGAGTTCATTATTGTTATTACGATATACCATCACTATATGTTATTTGTTAAATTGTTCAACACTTACGAGGCCCATTCTGATTGGGATTTAGTTTATGAGTACCAGGCGGAGGAAGAACTAGATTTAGAAACGGTCCTTCTATAGAAGAACTGTGATTAAGATGATAGTGGATTGGAACCTGATTTGGTTAGAGAGTTGTCCGGCAAAACGAGTGTGGGTTTTGTTTTAGTTAACCTTGTGTAACCACAAACAGGCAAGATTGGTTGGGAAATGGCCAGGGTTCATGTGACAACAATGCTGCTATTAGGCATCGTTTATACAAAAAGCACTGGACGGTTAGGCAATAATGACGTTATGCAACATGAAAAAAGACACCAACAAATTTGTAAAAAAAATAAAAAAACATTGTGATACGGCTGTGTGGCATGGGCATGCCCAGTTGCCCGACAACCAGTATACATAAATATATGCACGAACACGCATACTAACATTTTTTTACGCAATGTTGTCAGTCACCAATCATTTCACTGCAGGGATATATTTCAGGGAACATAACATTTATTGGGGATCTTTCAATTTATTTATTTTGAGACACATTTGTACTTTTTAAATTTGGTTCGTCTTTTCATCAGTGAAAACCATCTTATTTTCCCTTTTCGTAACTGACCTAGTTACCGTCTGTTGCCGCTGGAAAAATAAGAATCAAGCAAGTTTACAAGCCCTGTAACTGTGAATGTATTTCTTTGCACTCACAGGCCAGACCACTTCGAGGAAAAACAAACAGCTCACAGTATATCATTTCTTATTAGCTCTATGATATCACTTACATCATCAACTCCGTAATTACATAATCTCTTGCATTTGCATAAACCCATGACTGACAGTCATTTTGAGCAGTCAAAACGACTGCCTGAATCATGCTTTCCCCGTTAATTTTACGTGGAAATCACACTGACATCGCTCTGAAATTGTAAATTAATATTGAAATTGTATAGCGTATATATTCATGTTTGTGTCCGACATGAAAATAACGCACCACAGACGTCAAGATTGACGAAATGAGTGATTTTGCGGAGCACCCTGAAGCGATGTTTCATGCTTGAGCATTGTAGCTAGGCACTGAGTGAAATGCTGCATAGATTTTTAGCTAGCTACATTATAAAGCATTTCTTATTTTCTGCATCACAGGCCATGTGTTGGTATCACCGAAGAACCATCAGCAGATGAATGGTACTGTAAACGATGCACTGCCAAGAAAAAATCAGCACCTAAGAAGAAGAAGAAAAAGAAACATAAGGGGTCTTATGATTAACTACCAGCCTAGGTTGCCCAAAATCTGTGATTTACCACCTGCCTAGGTAGCCTACAAACATGTCAGTGTTGTGAAAGATTCCATCTAAAGCACATTGTTGACAACTTCAGCAGTTCATGCTTTATGAAATCCCACATTTTATGCTGGGTAGTGATCTGATCAGAAATGCATTGAAGGCAGAGATAATATCTCATAACACTATGCACTGATGTGAATGAATTCTTATGCATTGTAATTGGACTCAATGTGCAGGTTGCACTGGTTTTATTTTGAATCAGCAGCAAATAGATGAAACAAGACTAGTTGTTTCCATGATCTATAATTGATTGTTTGAGTTTCTGTTTATTGGAAATAACTGTAAACCGTTTAATTTCACTGCTGTAAGTTTTCACTATATAATAATTTAATTGAATTCATGATAGATGAAATATCATATTACCCCGGTAGTCACTACGACACCCTAGGATCCCAGTGAAAATTATTGTGACTCCCTAGGATCCCAGTAAAAGTCACTATGGCTCACTTTTGTAAAGATCCCAATAGAGGATGTTGATTGCTAAACATTTTTTGCTATTTCCATGTTTTGGATGAAAACATATCTTGTTTCTTTGTTAAGTACATTATGTCTGTTCACTGCTTTATTAGTACATGTATCAGTCTATTTCTGAGTAGCAAATACATAATGCTGCTGTTTCTTCAACCTCTTGTTGAGCGAGTGTAGCTGCTGCCATCTTCCGTCAAACTAAATGAAAAAACATGTGTAAAAATGTAATTGATCAGAGGTGGAGGTATATGCTCACTTTTGTATTCAGATTTCACACAAACTACCAAAAACAGTATTCTCAACAATTTGAATCACATGACAGAAATTTCAGTTTTGGGCAGTATTCAATGTCAAAACTTGGATCTGGTCCTGAACCAGTTACATAACAAATTCCAGAGGGTTGGTATGCTACAGAGACAACTGAGCTATACACACTGGATGTACAAATTATTATCACAACATATTGTGGTGTCCAGTGGTGTCTGTTACTAGTAGCTCCCTATTGTCACTGCTTTAATTGTTAATACTTGTCGTAAAATCCAAACGTCAGATATACAATACTATAGTTATATTGTTAATTCGTCTTTCTATGGTCTCTTCTGAGGTTATATCAAACTCTTAAAATACAGTTTTAAATCTATTTTATGAAGTCTTGCTTGCAAAAACATTTCAAAATCTTGTGTGTTTCGAGATTCAACAATGGAGATTCAACTGTTGTATTAATGTTTATTTGACCTCCATTTGAGAGTTTAACACACAATTGTTGGTGACATCAATTATCAAGAAATCTATTCAAAATTAAAACGTGATTTACAAATTCAAGAACTATGAACTCAATTTATGTAATAGCAGAAATTTTGATATGATCTTCTATGACAGTGCAAGTTGTATTCAATATTTTTATGTCCATAATTGGATAGGAGAAGTCCATTTGTGTGTGTTTTGATTAAGACATGTAGACAGTGGCAAACTAATTTTCTTTGATTCAATATTAACATGGGAACATTTTGAATTTTTTGTATCTAAAGAAATGTTTTTTTTTTTCTTCTGGCATCTATTGCCATTAATTCGTTTTTACTATGGATAGGTTTTTATAACAGTTGAAATTATTATTACTATAAAAGTTCACTTTATTTGTTAAAAAAATGTCCACACTGCCTCTGACTTTTCAGTAGCAAATTCAAATTGTGAGAAAAGCCATTGTCAGTCTGATTAGAGTTGACCAATCTTCTGTACTTTTTTGTTACAAGCCACATAGAGGGTATCATTTTTGTATATATCCAAACTAATTTTTCATGCAATGGAATGTAAATCAATCACTTTTAAAACACAAATAAAATTTAAATCAAGCAAGAATAACCTACTGTGTTGTTTGATTACTTGGGGTTGAGTGGGATAATGATCTAACAGAATTTTGAATTCATTTCTTGCAGGAACACTGTATAGACATCTATGATGCTACGTGACGTCTTGTACGTTTTAACTCAATCTGATTAAAATCCTTGTGGGGATATGTTTATATTTCTTTCATTTTATTAAAATTATTGTTTGTTTATTCCTTTCTAAGAGTTTTTTTCCTTTTTTCGTTTGCGAAATCCCCACTGGCAGAATTAAAAAAAATCACAATATTAAAATAAAAGTAGTAAAGTGAAATAAAGACATTAATAACATAGTAAAAAATAAAAAAAAATTAAAGCCTGTACACTACATCAGATTTTAATCAGATTGGTTTTAACTGGGCCGCTTTGTCATGTGTGCAGTATCCTGTCAGATTCTTCTGTGTGGCAAGATGCTATAATTATGTTTTAGCATAAACAGTCCGAATATCAAATGTCCATTTCACTTTGGACCAGAAATATTTTTTTCTGTTTGATTCTGTGGTTAATTGGTCCAAAATATTCATCAACAAGAATGGTTACGAATATGCTAATAGTAGTTAACAGCCTGTTCTAATGTTATTGTTTAAGTTGCCATACTTGCACATTTGGTGTTTTTTCTGCAGCCTCATCTAAGGTTGTTTTGTAAAGCATTGTGGGTTAAAAATAGTCTGGTATGCCCCCCTCCCCAAGTACAATTGACACTAGTAATCGTATATATGACAAACAGGCTGACAGAAACTACAAATTGAAAATCTAGTTAAGTCAATCTCATTGATTTTGGTTGGTATTGTGGGTGCTTGCATACTAAGAACTTTCAAGATAATCTACAAGTGTAGATATCCCTTATCAATTGATGATTAATAATTACCTGCAGCGTGCATGTATTGTAAATTGATATTCTAGCAATCAAAATTGTCTAAAGGCTTTACATCATTATAAACTACCAAGAAACACACAATGGAATATACGTCATAAACAATTACTAGCATTGTGACTATATTGGCCTTCATTTATTTTGAGAGGAACTATAAGCATATAAAGTAATGGAGCAAATTCTTGATATTGTCTTGTACAAGGTCTTCCATGGAGAAATGGTAATGTATGTGGTCATCTGATTGACATGAGGCGGTATGATCTGTAAGCTATAGGTTTCTGGGAGGCACACACATTCCAGAAAGGAGTTTGCAATTAACATTTAGAACAGTTTAGATCTACGGATGACAACTTGTGACAATGAATCCATGGATGTCCAGTCTACGCACGTCATTAGGTCATTTATGTAAATGCACTCCACCAGTTTATTACCGCATTTGATCTATTAATATCACTTGTCAAAGCAGAAGAATTTCATATATAATCCTTGCAAGTTAATTTCCATCATTTATAGGTATTTCAACCTATTAAATAGGGTGACAATTTTATCTCAATATTTTATTTCAAAAGTGCTACTTAGACATAAGCCATAGCCTTTTGGGTGTTTTACCATGTTGAAATCATGGTTTTAGAGAAAATTGTGTGACAAGATAGTCTATGTGACGAAATTGGGTTTGATTTTTTAAAAACATCACAAGAGAAAACCGTTTGATTTACTAATAAATGAAGAAACTGGCCGACACAAGTAAAAGACGTACCTACTCCAAAAGCACACATTTTTACTCATTTTTACCATAGATACACATATGGCATTTATGGAAAAAGAGCTAATACAGTGTATACTGTGCGTGGGAATGTTTTTATACATGATGGCCATTTATTATATTAATAAAGTGAACCACTCCAGTACACATTCAAGCTACTCCTGTGTAATATAAAACACTCGTAACAAACCAGTTAAAATTTAATAAATGAACTTTATTTTCTTGGTTAGGCTTGAATCTTTGATTTAGCGTTATATGCCATGTACCAGACAGAAAAGCCGACAAATGCTGCTAGGACTTCAGTTTGGACGTAAGGACCGGTTGACACACCCTGAAAAACAATAAGAACCTGATTAAACATCTCATACACAATATTGTATTGAAAGCATGATACAACCTCATCTATGTCAAAAACTACATACTTCTAATATAATGTGATTCTACTGGATTAATTACTGTGTGTGCCAAGTGTAACACAACACGTACATGTAGGACTACCATGGTCTGAAAACATCCCAATTCATGTAAGCATCATGGGGGTTTGGGATTTAGAACAGTCCATTGCTATGTTCACATGACAGCATTTTATCGGAGCCCTACGGCTCGAGCCAGCAAAAATGGCCATGTATATGCGTTTGGCTCCATTAAACCCTTGGGGTTGAACTCCGATAGGGTTGAGCCCCGACATGGCCCGACTGCGTATATGCAGGGCCCAACTATTGGATCCCAAATCACCCCCTCAATCGTCTTTATCAAGTAACCTCATTTCAATTATGGTGGAGACAACATCGTTCGTAACTTCACGCAATTTCCGATTTGATGAAGAGATACGCGCCCTAATATCTATTTGGAAGAGTAGAGAAATACTGTGATAGATTGACAGGTCAACGAGAAACAGAAAAATGGCGTACGAAATTAAGTGACAAAACATTGAAAGAAGGACTGAACAGATTCAATGAAAATTGAAGCGGTCACGGTAAGGTGACGTATTAGAAGCGGTCACGGTAAGGTGACATGTTAGAAGCGGTCACGGTAAGGTGACGTGTTAGAAGCGGTCACGGTAAGATGACGTGTTAGAAGCGGTCACGGTAAGGTGACGTGTTAGAAGCGGTCACGGTAAGGTGACGTGTTAGAAGCGGTCACGGTAAGGTGACGTGTTAGAAGCGGTCACGGTAAGGTGACGTGTTAGAAGCGGTCACGGTAAGGTGACGTGTTCCTAGTAGGTTTAGATTGACAACTGTCACACATATCACAACAGTTGAACAATAACAATAACTAAAGCAAATAGGCTGTAATTTTAGCTGCTGTGTTTCCTGTTTATTCGAGATACTATTACCTAAATCATAACACCAGTTCATTGTCTTTTCTACCTCAATGCTCAGACTCGATCGTGATTGTTTTTTTCTTTTTCTCCCAGCTCAACAGAATCGTGCCATGTAAAGAAACACCACAAGCTCGACACCAATATCGTTTTCAACTATGTTTTTTTCATACTAATTATTTGAGGGCACTGTTCTGTTAGGCTCTGACCATGGAAGGTAAAAAGAGAGGAGATAGGACGACTTTTAATCCGATTTATTTCTTTAGTTTCAAGCTGACAATATCGCCTTATTGCTATTGTTTATATTTTGTTTTACCTCGTCACCAGTACCGCTTATTTACTAAGCAAAATGGGATGAACTCACATTTTTCGTGACTGAAAAAAAAAATCACCGTCACGATCGAGTGGCACTGCGCATCAGCGAAGAGACGGAAGAGTGTATGGGCAGAAAGGTTCACGTGACGTCATAGGTCATTGACAAGGCCTGACACCAAAACAAAACACTTGTCAGTTGTTTTCTAGCTGGAGAGGATGATACGCTGCTCAGTCTCTGCACGTAAACTTGTTCCATTTTTAAAGACGAAAAAACTACACGCCCGGTTGTCTCCGGTTTTCGCAATAGTTTCGCCATTTTGTCACCACCTCGACACACCAAATATACTTATAAATACATTGTGTGTGTGATCATATGGAAGGTGGTGCGATGTTAGAACCATGGTGTGATCACGAACAGTTATTGTTGTGTCAGTTTTCTGATATAAGCATATAAATACATTTCATTTTAACGATTTTTACAGTTTTACAGATGTTGGGTTATGGTTATGTTGCTGTCTTGCTTGATAGTTTTACTGGTGCAGCAAGATTTGTTGTCATGTTTGAATTGAGCCGACCCGAATATTAATTATTCACGTAATCGCATTACGGAATTGTTTACCAAGTAAATAAATTGAAACGATCATCGAACAAGGGAGAACAATAGCGTCCTATCTCCTCTCATTTTACCTTCCATGCTCTGACCGAACTGAATCGAACTATGGAAGATCTCGGCTCTCGTTCTGCTCCCGACCGTATGAACGCATTGGAGATAATCTCCTGTTAATCGGTGGGAGGAGCAGTAGTTCGGCTCCGTGAGAATGCTGCCGTGTGATCACAGCACATGAGAAATCTTATCCAATAAATTATGAAATCAAATTTGGAATTATCTTCTTATAATAGGGTGACCTTGAGTGAATACAGTAATGAAATCTTGTTGGATTGGGGATTAGATTAGCCACCATGGCCATTCAGTGCAGACTAGATTCACCATTCAGTGCTCCAATATGTCAAAACTTGGCATGTAACCTTAACTCACCCTGTGGTTGAATTGTACATCAAAGAGTGGTTTTATTTCAGATAAACTCTCTCCGCTTCTTTGTGCCTTTAAAGAAAGTTAAATTCAATTATTGATAATACAAAGACTGGATATGTTAGGGGAAGCATGTACAAACAGTGAGTAAACTGCTCCATAAAATTATATTGTGGTCATAGATTTGACTTGATAGTAACTTACTTTTCTCAATTTACTGTATCCGTCTTCATCATAAAATTTAATTACATATTGTCCTGTGGGAGTTGTTTTATGTTCATCAGTCCAGCTAACCTAAGTGGGATATAATACATAAATTTGTGAAGATGCACAAATAGTGAAACAGAATCTGCAGTATGAGTTAAAATTAAAAATTAAAGTTGCCTATCATTGGATAGGTTTGAGAATAAAAATGCCTGTCTCAAATGATGATGTATCTGTCCCTAGCAAAATAAATTACAACTTCAGGCTTAAAAACTCTGAACGCAATTTATTTTGACTTTGGATTATCCCATTTTTGCCAGTTTGGGACAGGTGGACAGACCTGAATTTTGATCACTGATTGTTACCTGGTATTCATTGTTACCATCTATTATTCTTGATACAGGATATTGTCTACCATTAATATCGGCATGTAAAAACAGATCCTACAAACAATAAAGAAAGCACAGTGCAGATATTCAATAAATATTACCGGTATGATCTCTGCTGTAGTTGTTTATAAACCACATGTCTAAGACTGCCATGACAGAGGATTTATAAGATACCACAAGGGTATACCACTTTTATATCTATGCAAGGATATGCAATAGAAATCTTGTTCCAAGAATGTAAATCAAATTTATTTTAACCAACGACATCAAAAACACAGTTCATAACTCAATATGTAATGATGTAACCCCTGGTATCACGTGATCAGACCATGTAATCAAAATCCAATGCAGTATTTTGACAATCAAAAGTGTACATAACTAAATATACTAGCTATAATTATATTGATTGTACAGAAATTATACGAATGTGTTCTATTCTTGAATTCTCTTGTTTTTTTTATACACAGATAAGACGTAGCCACAAGCATGGGGAGTGGAATGCATACATTCCAAAACTGATTCTGGACTTCACATTGCATGCATACATGTCCAATAGGTATACAATGTACATGTATTTATTGGTCAAATATATACTGTTTTCAAATGTTTGAACTCACCAATCAACATTACACTCACTAATATATTGACATCACAGCAAATTAGCACATTCTCAGCGAGGTAAAAAAGTAATGCCATCACTATGATGAATAAATTGGAGAAACTAGAAGCAGAGCCACACTGAAGTGATGGAACTTACCTTATCACCATCTTTACAAGACAGCGCAAATTCTACAATAAAAGCAGTTTCTGATGCAGTGAAGGACTCCTCTGTTGAATATACTCTCTCATTTAATATTTGTGGAGAAGTGCACGCCTCACCTGAAAGTTGATAAAATAATGGATGACAACTTAAATCTACAAAAACAAGCCATGCATGGCACAGTCCCCGTTAGTTATCAAATTTAAGATATATAGTTTTGTTTGTAGTAATATAGCTGGAATATAATCATGTCAGGAATATGATTATGATGATTGTTTAAAATTAAAATGATTGACATTAGTATTTGATCATCAAACAAGTACTTGTCCATATTGAGAGATATTGCTCTAGAACAGCATTAAGTTAAACAAAATCAGCCATTTTGAATACATTTATATATCTATAACATGATGTATAACGAATATATAAAATTTGAACATAATCAGTCAAAGCATGTCAGAGATATGGCTCTAGAAGCCCAATAATTAGAACAAAATGGCCGTCAGTCAGCCATTTTGAATCCGATTTGAAAAATAAAATGGTGTGCATCAGGAACCTGTAATGTCTAATGTGTGTTATAAGTTTGAACGAAATCCATCCATAAATGCTTGATATTTGATAATTTTTTAGCACAAAAATGACCACCATTCGGCCATTTTGAATAGGATAGTCAAACCGATATATCTGCATATCTATGACATGATGTATAATGAATATTTAAAATTTGAACATAATTAGTCAAAGCAAGTCAGAGATATGGCACGAGGGCCACATTCATTTAAACAAAATGGCTGCCAGTTGGCCATTTTGAACCTTATCTGAAAAACAAAATTATTTGCATCAAGGTCCTGTAATGTCTAATGTATATACCAAGTTTGAACAAAATCCATCTGTAAACAGCTGAGAAATGCTTGATTTTGATGATTTATTAGCACAAAAATGGCCGCCATTCGGCCATCTTGAATCAGATCATTAAACAAATTGATGTGCATATGTATAATATCATGTATGATGTATGTGTGAAGTTTGATTATGATTGGTCCAGGCATTTCTAAGATACAGGTCCGAACGCATGCACGGACGCACAAGGGTCAAAACCTACCGGTAAGTCCCTGTTTTAGGACTGCGTCCGAACGGGGACTAACAGCAGCATGGTACAGCAATGTACAAGACTGAATTATTAGCCAAGGAATCATTCTACCTCTTGCTAATACTGCTAGTTATTAAGAGCGAGGTTAATTCATGCTAGATTTAACCCTTATCCTGCAAGCCCTATTACTTTTACATTGACTTGACCAGATAAGGGTTAATAATTTTTCAGATTGGATGCCACATCCAATTTTATATATTTTATGTTAATAAGTCTTGCCACAATTCAGTGAAATAATAAATGGTACATATTGATGTCAACACAATACATATTTTAAAATACTTTATTTTCACTTGAAATTTAGTTTCGCTTAAGGTAGCGAGAAGGGAAATTTTCACTTTTTTCTTGATTTTTCAAAAATTGATAAAACGGTTACTTTAGACCTTGATACACCATCCCAGGTTTACAAAAGATCGAAATTGCGAAATAACGTTGCTTAAATTAGTGTTTTAAAACGCTAGCAGAAAAGACTACAACTGCCGTTTCATGGATATTTGCATAATGTTTATCTTTGGAACGGATTAAAGGATAACATCTTATCTGTATACTCTGTTGTTGACGATTCTGATATAACAGGTGATAAGCTTTCCGTCGCAAACAATGCGTGTTTATCTAACGTCCCTTGTCAAGCATTATTGTCATCCTAGACTTCGTCGGAGAAACATGGTCATACAGTCCGGGCATACAGTACTCATTTCGCCCAACCTTCCGCTTTTACATCGACCGCTTATCACTTAATTTCCGACCATGCGGTCTTGTCCGACCGG